AGTTGTGACATTTTTATTAATAAATTCGTGATAATCACGTGCGTTACGGAGGTTTGCGCTTTATGGTATTTGAAGATTCTGATTGTCTAATTTTTGTGTAACAAAATTTGATTGGTTAAAAATATAAAAATGATTTTTTTTATATAATAAGTGCCAAATTTTGGTTTTTATATGTAAATTTATAAATTTTAAGCTTTAATAACTTTTAAATTTATAATAAAAAATAAAAATCTGTCTTACAGAATTGTAGCTTAGATTGGGAAATTACAGCTGAGAAATGTAGCTACCTCAGGTAACCATCACAAGACAAATGGGTGGTACAAAAAAGATGATATGAAATTGTCATCGTTGTTCCAATAGAAAAAATGGAAATCAATGAGGCTGAAGAACTAAATCCTGATAATTCCAATAATGAAATATCTAACCCTGAAAATCTAACATAAAAAGAATCGAGTGATGCTGAATATACCCCAAGGCCCAACTGCTCTTTTTAAACTATATGATGAAGAAGCTTGGCCCAACACAACTGAACTCTAGTATTAACTAATCATCCAGGACATATTTCTAGAACCAAAATCAGGATACGATATCCCAACTCGGATGAAGATAATACTAACTCTGCTAAGGCCAAACCTGGCAAAGACTATGCCATCACCAAAACCAATGGCTCTAGTTAGTATCTTTTCTAGAAAGGTCCAAATGGAAGACATTTTGGTAGCCTGTAAAAGTGAAGAAAAATAATATAATACTAATCAGAAAGATATAGAATAGAAAAATACCTACAACACCAATACATCTCTTCAAGTTTAACTTCAGCTGAATAAAAGAAACTGGACCAGTGAAGTAAAACAGTTGAGCTCAAAGGTGGAATACTATATAAACAAAGCTTAAAAAAACTACTAAGAATTGCCTAAAAGTTAGAGATGGAGCCCATTTTATTTCTGACCCACATTTACCCGTCAGAAGGACATTTTAATGAACCAAAGAATATTCAAGAAAATATAGAATGTGTACTTTTGGTCTTGACAGTTCGAAGTCATTAGCAACTATATCAAGACTTGAGACCAATACCAAATATGGGGAAAAAGTAGGCTAAGAGGACCCTTGTACCCAATACTGGTTATAGCCCCCTTTTCACTAGGTTGGAATTGTTATATACCAGTTACTCCATAAAACTATCACTATATCATCATAGCCACTAATTATATAACAAAGTGGCCTGAAGAACAAGCTCTTAAATCAGCTAATGCTCAGTCCGTGGCTGATTTTGTCTTTAACAAAATAATATGTCGCCACGGGTGTTAGAGAAAATTTTATCAGATAGAGACACACACTTTTTGAATCATCTGGTGGACAGGTTGTTAAGAAACTTTGAAATTAGATATCAGAAATTGACACTATACGCTCCAAATGAACGGCCTAGTTGAATGCTTTAACAAGACACTGTGTAAAGCTATTGCTAAGTCCATAGCCTATATCGATGAGTGGGATCTGATAATCCCTGCTATACTATTCGCATACCGCATCTCAAAGCATTTAGTAACAAGGCTCATACCCTTTTTTCTCACATATAGTCAGGAAGCTTGACAACCTATTCAACCAACTAGCATGGGAAAGCTTAAAACGATAATAGAAAGAATGACCACCTTGTTGAAGTGCCTACCCCAAGTTCAAAATAACACAGTAGTATGAGTTTACTACACCCAGCTTAACAGGAAGGAAGATTTAATAAGAAACTATGCCCACTCCTAGCATTGTTTATAGAGGATAAAGTTCTATTGTATGATGCAGCAAAAGATAATAAAAAGAGTAGGAAATTGGAACCTAAATGGAAAGGCCCCTATTTCATGTATGATCACTTGCATAATGATATCTTCAAGCTATAAACAATATATGGGGAAGTTCTGGAGCACCGATCAACATACAGCTGATAAAAAAATACTATGATCATCCAGGGGTTGAACAGATCTCTGAATACAAACCGACCTGTGATAAAAATAAGAGAGAAAAGCTAAAAAAGGTTAATAATAACCAAGACTGGGGTAAAGACAAACAGCTTTATTATTAAAAAAAAAAATAAAAAAAATAATAAAATTTTCACAACAACGAGAAAATTTGTCCTAGGAAGAAAATTGATATCTAAGAAGAAATGTGGGAAAAAGAAGAATGACTGGAAAGAAATAAAAAGAGGGCAGAATTGATGCAGAAGGAAGAAGTAAAAATTGAAAATGCTGCTTACCTTTACCAAACTACTTGAAGACCTCATTATCTTGGACCCTGCTACCATTACTCCCATAACCCTGCCATACTGTGCTACTAATGACCCTGCCACTTGCATTAGGGTATCACTTAGTCAGATGTCAAGGGCAAACCGCTTTTGAAAGTATACCCATGTCCTAGCCTATGGATATTATATAGGAATGATTTATACTACCGCTACCCCAGAACAACTAAGCTATCTGTACTAGCTTACATCAGAATATTACTGCCATACCTTGGTCCGTATTTATGACATATTCAGTAATTACAGAATTGACCAAATTTATCGAACTTGGAAAGTGCGCTTCCAAGACTATAAAAAGCTTTCAGTGGAAGAATATCAACAATTGGCTGATGATAGTTTGTTGAACTCACCTTTAAGTGGTGGAGAAATGTGAGCCCAGAAAACATGACCTGACCACAGGCATGTGCCCACATGATATGAGAGTTACAAATTTAGGTTTACCGGGAGAATTCCTGGGATTTTTGGATTTTGCGATAATCCTGGGAGTTTAGAAATTTAAGGTATCAACCGAATTGGGACAATAAGAATAATTGTAGTTATCTAACAGACTTTAATAATAATAGCAATAAGTACAATTCGGGTTCTATTGATAACTTCAGAGATTTAGATAATTTTTGATATGTAGATAATTCTGCAAATGTAAATAGACAAATTATCAATTATAAATAAAGGCCTTTTCAGCCCTTGGAGAAAGATAACTCCCACCTTTGCTTTATTAAAACATTTATATAATACAATTACTTCTCTAAATCATACTATAACTAATAATAAATCCCTACATTTCGTATTTCGAGTAATTACCATTATTAAGATTATACACTACTTAAGTTTCGTATATCGGACCTACATTTAATATATATCCTCATTATGAACTCTACCTAACTATAATAAACCCTGGTTCTGTCCCAACTAAATACACCACTCATCCAAATCTAACATGCCTCTTTTGACCCTAAAGTAACCTAAGGCTTAGTTACACAAACCCCTTTTCGATTTAGCGACAGACTCGCCAATTTCGGGTCTGACAGAGTATAGTATAGTTTTAGTTTAGTTTATGTTACAGTTTACCTTGAAAAGTAAAGTTATCGTATACCCTTACACCGTACAAATCCAGATCTTGACCCATGTCACAAAGGCCTGTGCCGATCCGGTACATTTTTCTTATAGGGAGGGTTAATCGCCATTTATCATTCTCACATATATATTCAATAGTTGTTCGACAGATGAAAATTTTGAGCACTATTTCGTTTGCGCTGTGCAATGCTTCGAAGCGCTGTTCATACGATATTGCTAGTACTAAAGAGTACCTTAATTACAATCGGTTGAAATTTGTGAAACAACCTCAAAATTTCCTAAAGTTATCTTGAAAAACCCTTTCCGAAAATAAGGACTACACCAGGGTGTAGAATCGATTTTACTGGTACATGATTTTCCGACATCTATCAGCCAATTAAAAGCCAGGATCAGGTGTAACGTAAAGAAATTCAAAACAAATGTTGCTTTACAAAAATGCATTTATCTTGAAATTTAGTCTAGTTAACTATCATTGAAGCTCTAACAAAAAAATTTCTTGTGCAATTTTACTACATAATTGTTTTTTTAACTCTTTAAAACTCTAACTGGACATAAACAAAGTTTTTTGGATTTGACAATATTTGATTTCTGACTATCACGTGACAGTAAAATCGACCCTACACCCTGGTGTTGCCGAAAAGAAGCGATAAAACCATCAAAAAAGCAATCGAGCATACTACAAAACGCTATTAATTTATTTTTAAGCGCCAAATAACTAATAATAATGATGATTTATTTTTAAGTGCTAAAAATAACCAATAACGGTGATCGCACATGCTGTATAATTATTTGGGGTTGCAAAAATCTAAAATCTGAAATTATGAGGTTACTAATTTGTACCACCATTTTTGATTGGTTCTACTAATTATTCACATAAATATCAAAGTATTTGCGCTATTACTATTTGATCATCAGTTAACAACAGGCTCTAATACCTAGTTTATCTATAACTTTTTCTGCGTATCATTTACTACAGTGAGCATGGATGAATCTAAAAGCGATTTTGAAAGCGATGCTAGAAGTAGTGAGGATGAATCAGACATTATCAAGCAAAAAGAAAATTTATGTATTGTATCAGTTGTGTCAGTAAATTGAAAGCTTAATTTATACAATATGATGAAAAAATATATCTTTTATTCCATTAGTACCTGAATATTTAGAGCAAATGGAAATATATTTGAAAGACTTTAAAATCAAAAACTTCGACTACTCACAATTCAGCAACCTTAGCACTATTGGAAACGGAGCAACAGCGACTATATATTCTGTCACTTTAGGAAATGATAAATATACATTAAAATATATTAACAATAACCTGTGTTTTAATGATAAAACCTTCAAAAAATTCACTCGTGAGGTATTATGCAATAGCATAAATTTATATAACTTTGTTATTCATCATTTAGTTTTCTATATAAGAACTAATAGATCTTTATTTATATCAGCTTGGATTACTTAGTAATATTGATCATGTTAATATTGTTAAATTTTTTGGAATATCAAAAGGTAAAAAGTTTAATTCAAGGATCTTCTATACTATAGGTAGGCAATATAGAATTATTATAAGATTATAATATAAAAATCTCTAACCTAACTCTAACCTAACCTTAATTTAAACTATAGCCCTTACCCTAACTTTTATATATTATAATCTTATAATCTTATAATAATTCTATATTGCCTACCTATACTATAGATCAACCTAATTCAATATATATTTAAACAATAAATTTTGATAATATTCAAGTAAATTTAATTTTAGTGCTATATTCTAGATACAATAGGCAATTTTATGATGATATTGCAATTTGTTGTTAGTGGAAACCTACGGGATTTTTTAAAAAGGAGGTAAAAAAAAGGTTGCTACAAAATTTCATGGATAAAACTTATAAATATAGCAATAGACATTTCTCATGGATTAAAGCATTTACATCATAGTAATATAATTCATTGAGATCTAGTAGGTGAATTTATAATTCTTCGCATGTTTAAATCATTTCATATTTTTATTTATTTAAAAATTCTTATAGCATTCTAAAAATGTTTTGATCAACGATAGAAGAGCATTAATTGCAGATTTTGGAATTTCAAAGCAATTGAATGATTCTATTACATTAAGTTCAAATGTAGTAGGAATGCCAGCATATATAGAACCTCAATACCTTCAAAATGAAAAAAATATAAATTTGATAAGAAATTTGATATTTATAGTTTGGGCGTGTTATTTTGGGAACTTACAAGCAGAATTCCTCCATTTAACAATCTTTCTTCTGTAGCTATAATCCTAGAAGTTTTAGAAAATAATAGAGAGTAAATAATTCCAAATACACCTTCAAATTATGTTAACCTTTATGAAAGATGTTGGTCTCCTGATTTGGATCAGCATCCAATATTAGATAATATTTTAATTGAACTTGAGAAATTATCTACAGATTCATCGGTTAAATACATTATAAATAACATTATTAATCCAGATGTAAATTCAGATGCTGAAGAACTTTCTGAATGCAGTCAACAAATTATCTCTGAAGAAATGGAAAATTATAGTAAGGTTTAACTATAATTATTCATATTTAATCACAAATATTCAATATGACTTGGCCAATATTATATTCATTCTTTTCTAATAATATAATAGAAAGCATTTCCGATGATTTGAGTCTAATCAATAGTAAATTTATTGTTCAACAAACTATGAAACATGAATCAGAAGTTTTAGATTCTTGTTTAAATAGTGATTATAGTCAGGGATCTGCTATGCAGGCAGAAAAATTAATGAAAATAAATCATACGTATGATTTAAATATTGAATTGGAAGAACAAACAGCTAGCATTTTAGCTTTATCGAATAAAATTGAAGTCGTTTCAGAAAAATCGCCTCTTGAGATAATTCTGTTAAACTCTAAAGATTTAAACAATTGTAAAAAAAAGTAAAAAATCACGCAGGATTTCTACTATACGCCAATGGACTGAACGAGTAGGAAAAAGAATTTCTGTTAATTTTAAGGCTCTAACTGATGTGAGTCCAAACTCGAATGAAGTTGGAAAAAGAAGTTCTAGTTTTTTTAGGAATCTCACTGATGTGAGTCCAAACTCTAGTGTTTTTGAGGATCTCACAAACTCGAATGAAAATGTAAAGAGAATTCCTGATGATTTTAAAGTTCTCACCAATGAGAGTTCAAACGCGAATAAAATAATATATACTCCTGAAAATGGTCAAGTTCTTGAAGTAAATCTAATCTCAGAATATAAAATAATTTCAAATGTTAAATCTCAGGAACTTTATGTATGGCAACTCTCGTAGCTAGTGAATATATTCCAAAAGATAATATTTCACATACTCATATAGTTTTAGTATTGTATATTAGTGGATCGATGGCTGGAAGTAAGATCGAAAGCATTAAAAAAAGTTTAAATTTTATCGTTGGTGAGCTTTCCTCAAAAGATCAGTTATGTTTGATTACTTTTAATACTTTTGCGAAATGTATAACACCATTATTATTTGTAAATGACGAAAATAAGAGAATATTTCATAAATCTATTAAAGAATTAATGGGAACTGGCAGTACGGATATTAAAAGTGGCCTTGAACTTGGTAAGTGAAAGAGATCTTAATTTTATAGCTTATTATTGGTTTACCTATAATATCAAAGATGCAGATGCTTTTGCACAAATGCTGCATTTTGATATAACCACAACGTAAAAAATTCATAAAAATTACTCTAGATCATAATAATTTAATTCTTTGAAAAATTTTAAGTTAGGAAACTTCTGCTTCTTCTCTTACTATTACTTGGTGTTTAACTAAATTAATTTTATGATGACAAATTGAAGAAACTCAAAAATCAGTTAGAAATCATGCTATTCGTCATTTCATAAAATTTTGTCAGTTTGTAAGGCATCATTGGCATTATTATTGACTATAGTTGCAGATATATAAAAGTTCAGAGATGGTTATTTTTCCTGATTATATAAAATTTTGGTCTAAAATTTGCAGCCTTGACCTTAAAAACTAATGCTGACACATCAATAGGTCATGTTAACTAACCTCGATGGTACACTTCGCATCAAATTTAAATTTTTTTTTTGCAATATTAATTTAAAAAGGAATTTGATGATTATGTGCAGTGATACATCTCAATATCAGATGCAATACAAAACCTAAAATTAGGAACATGTTTGAAGCAAAGATAACGTTTGGGTTGAGCGACAATAAGGCATATTCTACCTACCCATATTTTGCGAAATAACAAGAATTGGCATTATCTCGAATAATGGCCTTAATTTATGCCAAAATTCGAAATTTCACACCTGCGCTGTTTTGCAGCAATATGGTAAAATTTTGCAAAAAATTTTCATGAGACCAAAAAGCAATTTTATAAAAAAAAAAGCAAACAAACTTATATTTCACGTTAAATGCATCACAAGATATGCTGATTTAATATTGAAATTTTTTAGGCTTGGATACCTTAATACAAAGCAAAATTGTAAACTTTTCGTCAGAAATGATTTTGCTTTCTGATGGCATGGATAACGTTGAGTAATCTTATGAAGATTTATATGAAAGAGCTCGTAATGCAAAGTATGTATTTTGCTTATATTTATTCCTTTTATCAGAGAAACAATATATTCATAATTTAAAATTATTATGCAGAATTTCTATTCATAACTTTGGTTATGGGGCTGACCATGATGCAAAAACACTTTACACTATTTCAGAAAAACAGGTGGACTTTTTACATATATTTATAAATTTGAGCAGATTAAAGAATGTTTCGCAGGTTGTATTGGTGGACTTCTGAGCATTTTATACAGTGATTTGAAATTAAATTTACAAATATCTAAGACTATTTCAAATGTTAAAATATTTGAAATACTTTGTAAATATGAACATAGTATAAGTGATGATATGCTAAGTGCTCAGATCAAAATTCATAATTTATATACTGGAGAGAAAAAAGATTTATTATTCAAGGTTAAAATTATAAGTACTGATAAAGGCAATAAACGTTTAAAAAAGGTGTATTTTAAAATATCTAGGGAGGATAAAGATAGCGGTAAAGAAGAAAAAAATATAAATTCAAGTGAACTTATTATAATTGAAGCTGATGTTAATTACTTTGACGTTTGCAAAGGACTTCGAGTAAATTGTCGTGAATCACCAGCAACATTAAAAGTAATTTACACTTCACAAATTAATCCATCAGGCAATTCCACCAACCTACAATTAATTAAACAAAATTATCAATATCTTACTACAAAAGTTATCTCCCAAGCAACATATTTTGCTGAACAAAGTGATTATTATAATGCTAAAATGGTTATTAATAATTTAATAGAAGAAATCAAGATCCATTACAATGAATCACCAGAATTTTATGGAGCATTAATAGAAGATTTACATACTATAGCAAAACAATTTGATAATTCAAAAACTTTTAATGAAGGTGGAAGAGCTAGTGCGTTCTCAATTAGTTTGATACATTCAAATCAACGTTCTTTTACAAAAAGAACTAGTACTGAGTCTTCTTACCAAAGTAGATCTAGTTACAGATATTCATCAAAAGCTTTATCCAGAGTTTCAGAATATTCTAATTAGGACCACTAGGAGTTCTCAAACGCCACAATCAACATTTCAAATTTGTATGCCCCAATTATATCACTGATCAGGATGACTAAAATTTCATGTAGCCATCTAATGTGCTGCAATTAAAGAACAAACTAAGGTTTTAAATTTTTTTTTAATTCTTAGGCCTAGATGTTTTAAATTTTTATTTTAAATTAATTAACTCAGGATCTGGGCAATACTTCAGAAATGAGGTTTTGAATTTTTTTAACTTTTTGATTTTAAGTATTATAGATTTTTTTTATATTAGTTATTAAAATTTATTTAAATAAAGTTAATCAAAATATTATTATTATAATTAAAATTTTTAAATTACATACACTAATAAATTAATAATAATATTTTTAAAACTATTTACAAATTAATAAATTAATAATAACACTTTTAAAACTATTTACACTCAAAGCTATATACAATTAAAATTATATAAATTGTCACGGATCATGATAAAATCAGATTAAAATGAAATGAGGGCTTCTATTTAACCATCTAAAACCCATTTATACTTGTTTATTATAAGCTCTACTCTAAAACGAACTACAAACCCTAACCCTAACCCTAAAAAATACACCTCAAAAGTTTTTATTTTTCGATGGCTAGTCTATTTTTTACATTGTTCAACATTTCATTTTAATCAGATTTCATATTAATCTGTCAAAATAAATATCAGGTGCACACTAGAAGACAAAGTATGTATAATATCTGACAAATATTTAACAGACCTCTATAATGCACCTTTTCTCTATATGACGTTATTAAAGTGTGGTCCCAAAGGCGTGCATTTAAATGTCTCTATCAAATTATTAGCGGGTAAGATAAGCTTTACTTGAAATCTTAAAATATGCATTTAACAAATATTTTAACAAATGCTTCTATCATATTATCAGCCGTAAGCATAATTTTTATTATATAAGTTTTAAAATTAGAGTATATTTATTTATCGCTTCTGCGATGTGTCGCCCTCACATGATCAACAAATAAAATCCAAGAACAGGTGTAACGTAGCACGATTAGAAAAATTCAAAACAAACGTTCGTTTGCAAAAAACAACTTATAACTCAATTTTGCATATGAAGCTACCTTTTTTGTGTTCTAACAAAAACATTCCTTGCAAAATTTTACTATAAAACTCCTCTTCGCACGTAAACTAACCCTACCTAACCCTAACCCTAACAATATTAAGGCGACATGCGATGTATAAATTATCCCTTAAAATTTTATCTAACAAATATTTTAACAAATGCCTCTGTCAATTTATTAGTGAGTAAGTATAAGTTTTATTTTTTTAAATTTTTGGTAATTTTAAACATATGACAACATATTTCAACAAATACTTCTGCCAAATTATTAGTCCGTAAGTATAAGCTTTATTATATATTATTTTTTTATAATTATTGATGATCTTAAAATACGCATCGGACAAATATTTATAAAATACCTCTGTCGAATTATTAGCGGGTAAGTATAAGTTTATTATATTTATTTTTTGTCTTAAACTATTAATCTGACAAAATGTATCTGTCAAATTATTAGCGGGTAATTATATTTATTTTATTAAATTATCAGTGAATTTACAATGTGCATCTAACTAATATTTTAATAATTGGCTCTATCAATTATTAAGTATAAGCTTTATTATATTTATTTCTTTTTAAAGTATTGTGATTTGATGAAATTCACTTTATTATTTGATACTTTTTAATAATTCATTTTTATGACAATATATATTTAATTGAAGTTAATTGCGGGGAGTAATCCGAACCTTCTGGTTATTATTAGTTAATTATTACTGATTGGTGAGTTGCTACGAATAATCTAATACCTGATAATATACTGTGCATCTAACTTGCACGGTGTGTTGATAATATTTTGGCTTTGCTTACATTTTCATATATTTGCAGAATAAATTTGTTTATTAAAATCAGATGTTTAAAATTATGTATGCAGAGGAATTTATTTTACAAAATAATATTTGCTAAGACAATTTTTAAAATTTAATATGTATAAATCTGCATGTTTACATAAATTAGTATAACTTTAAATAAATAACAATGATGCCTACGTGTATAATAAATTATATTAAGATATGAAAAGTTTGACTTTAATCTGGTGAAAGAGATTAGAAGAAATAGTTTGCATATTATTAATTGTAATCTAAGTATATTCCGAAAAGGTTTCGTAATTAAGTTTTGAAATTTATCATCTTATTGTTGGGAGCTTGAGATTTAGAGTCAAGAATTTTTATTATATTGACAATACGATTATTGCAATATTAATTCTTTATATTAATCTAATTAATTTTGGGATAGAGAATAATCAAGATAATGAAATTCTTGAATCTTAAATTCTCTATTCATATTATTAAGCAACTATTAGAATTCGCTATAGGTAAAGTTTGTATATTAAAATTACTTAAGTAATTAGCATTTTTATAGTGACAAGCAGTCAAATATTTGAAATAATAATAAAATAAAACAGTCATATAGATGTGAAGAAGAGTCTTATAGATATTATAAAAGGATATATAAATAGTTGTAATCAATATAATTGTCTGGAGCGAAGCGGAACAGACTCATACTTCTAAGTCCTTTAATGACGAAGATGTTCAGATGAACCTCGATATAATTATCAGCTTGGGAAACAAGGAACTGATGACTATAAAAAGCTGCAATTATATTAAGGTCAACCTTTTTATGTTTTACAATAGTGCGAGACTCAATCAAGAGTGGTCAGACTGTATTTTTAAAAAAAATATCGAAAATGTAGATTCGGCATTTCCGTCTGTAACGCCACGCCACGTACGTTGTGAAGGGCCCAGGAACCGACCTTACCAATTTTTTTTTAATTTATTATTTTATTAATTATATATATTATTATTATTATTATTATATTATTATTATGTAGTATTATTCGCTTTTTCTTTCCTTTCTTCTTTTAATTATTTCCCTACTAGCATCTGATCCGTGGCTCCGTCACGGATTCTTTAAGAAGCCATAATATTTTAAATCTTGATCGATTTTCATTAAACATGGGTTAAGTAATATTAATAGAATTATTTATATTCAATTCTTATTCTAAATCAGGTTAGCCCTAACTTTCAAAAAAAATGGTTATCAGGAAAGTAATATTACCACTAATGGAGATATGAATGAGATTGTTATTCTAATAGCAAATAATATAATGAATAAAAATGAGGTTAATTGCTTATCTTATATAATTCGATTAATAAATATTTGTTATATTCAATCCTAATTGGTGTTGCTTGTCTTATCGAAGGTTTATTTAGCTGACATAATAGGCTTTAGAGGTAGCATTTGATTTGTTATTTGTAGAATATATTTAAAGAATTGTCACTTGATGTGGTTTTGGTTAAAGAGAGAAGTTGGTGAAATGATTGTTGAAGTAGGGTAATCCCTCTCATAATGCATTTTACTTGAGCACAGTTATAGTAAAAAGGTTGTATTAGTTATTATTAGTATTTCATAATGATAAATTTAGGCAGAATTATAGATAATTATTACTTACTAATTTGAAATTTTAATCACATTCACTGAATCTGCATTAACGGTGTCCTGTAGTTATTACGTAATTTATCATGATTTCTATTGTCATTACCATAAAGAATTCTGTTACAGAACTTATTAAGTTGATACATACAATTGTTAAGTTATTTTGTTAAGCTACTATAAAATTTAGTACAGTACTTGCTATTTGGAGTGGACCGAACTTTTAACATCTCTAATTATAAGCCAAATGAATATTAAATAATACAAGTAATATGTAATAATTTTCGACCCCACGAAGCACCACAATGATATGTGAACGTGATAAATAATGTTGGAATAAAGATCCAGAAAAACGGTCAACAGAAAAATCCTGAAGTTTTAAAAAATGTCGAGAAGATTATTAAATTTTAATTGAACTAAAAATATTTAAGCATATCGAACTTTGACATAAATGTAAACAGTGGTAGCAAACTAATTATTTATATAATCAAAATCAAAATCACATTTTATCTTGGAACTGTGATCAACATTTTATAATTAATCCTTAAGATAATATCTATTTAAAAGTAATAAAGTGAAAATTAGCATCTTTACATTTTCTAATGGAATTTGAATACCATTCAAGAGAATATATTAAATTATATAAAAAAAAAAAAAAACCTTGAAGCAAATGATTGGGTTCGAACGAGTCTTGAAAACCAATTCAGTTTACACCTTTAATTGTGTTATGGCAATTCAATTTATATTCAATAACTAGATAGATGAAAATAATTAAATGTTGAATGTAGCAGAAGTGCAAATTTAGAGTTCGATAGTCTTAAAACGCTATTTTTCAAAATAAGATACTTCAAAGGTTTTTGACGTAAAAGGAAAAATATATAAATAGGATAAAAATATGAAATGGTAAAGTTTTTATTATAATGAATACTAGTTATATTGTAAGGTATAAATGTTAGTTTAGAAGTAAAAATGTGGGTTTTCACAAAACCCAGACTATACACGGGAGCACATGGAGGGTAATGATCGGTGCGGCGTAGTAGCAGCTTAGCTTAGCAGCTGTGAAGATCACTTACCAAAAATGGGTTTCCGGCAGAATACGTTAAAAAGTAAATAAGGGAATAAGGAGGAGTGCTGGCATCAATGATATGTATAATTAGTGGGTAATATGGGGAATAATTAGTTTTCATAGAATAAATACAGTAGTTAAAATGATGTATCACGAATAAGACTTTTAATAAGTCATAAGATAGAAGAAGTATATAATAAAGGCTTCTCGCCCTTGAAGGAAGTTATCCTTCGTGATTCAAATAACTTCGCCTCCTTATAACTCTACCTTTTCTACGTTATAATAAAATACTTCCATCCCGATCTACTGCTTAAGTGGCATAAGTACGATCATCGCCCTTGTTTTCTTGTTCCATCCGGTTAATTCTCAACGTACTGAGGACTGCCGTGTTTGTTGTTGTC